CTTGAGACTTGCACATCCAGTGATCGTTTGAACTGCTGTACAAAGTTCTTTTCCACTATCTGCCCGGCAAACTGTTCCAGCCATTTACCACTCGCCGTTCCAAGCACAGAGATGGGGAACTCGCTTTATATCTGGAATCACAAGCTTGTATTGGTGTCCACGTGTGCTGCATGGTGTTCGTAAGTGGAGCAGTGACCTTAGCATGAAGAAGTCGCCTACATGTAGTATCCGGTAGGTCATGATGAGGTCGACACGTAACCGACGATATGCTAAGATGTACAGTCCCAGTCTCTCGTACGGTAAACATCGCAAACTTGGGTTCAGCCTATTAGCGACGTGTTGAACCCGTTCAATCTCCTCGCCGCGAGTGATCTAGCAATAGACGAGTGATCCGTACTCTAGCGTTGGTCTGATAATGGAAGAGAGGCGAGGGACAATCTCTTCAGACCAGATGCAGAAACTGCGTTTGAGTGCCCAGAGCATGCGCAGTCCGTTACCATATAGCTTGTTCGTATTGTCAACGGGCTTGAAATCACAACATGAGAGTACTCCCAGGTCCTTCACAGAAGGTGTAGGATGTGGCAGTTGATTCTCGAGTGTGGGTTCGGCTGTCACCATCTTTTCCCAGGCTCATGAATACCGATTTGGATGGGTTGACTGGGAGGCGGACTTCTGCAGAACACATGGAAAGGCGGTTAAGGTCTTGTTGAAGTAAGCTGCAGTCGTCAGATGTTCTTCAGGTCTTCTGCGAACAGAGCATGCGGTGACCGAAGAAGCTGAGTTAGGTGGTTGATATAAATCAGGAACAATGTAGGCCACAGCACCGTGCCTTTGGGTACGCCACTGGTCGAAGGATACCAGTCGGTCAGGTAGCTATCAGCTTGTACCCTCCAGTTTCGTCCAAGGAAAAAGTCCTGTCACCACTGGTGCAGAGATCCACCAACACCACACATTCTCAGCTTGTGAGGGAGGACCTCATGGTTCATCTTGTCTAACGCTCTCCTGAAATCGATGTAGATGGCGTCGATAGACTTACCCTGTTTCACTGCTTGCAACCATTCATGCCTCGTCTCGAGCAGGTTGGTGATGCATGAACGATCTGGCATGAAATCGGGCTGTACTGGTGTCAGGCGATCTTTTAACCGGACAGCTGTAACAAACGCTTCTCCACAATTTTCTCTGCAACTTTGACCAAAATAGGTGTCAAACAAATTGGTCTCTAGTAGTCTACTTTGCTGGAGTCACCGCCTTTCGGAATCGGCTTTACCACCGAGCATTTACTATCAATCGACAGTGCACCTTCGGACATAGACCTGTTGAACAGGTCATTTACGGTAGACGAGATGATGGCCGATAACGGCTTGAGAATCAGTGGGTGAAGCCCGTCAGTCTCAACAGGCTTGCTGCCGTCAAGTTTGTCGAGTAGCTGACGCACCTCCTCCACACCACAATACAGACTGGCGAGTTCGGTAAGTGTGATTCAGGCTGAACTCAGTACAGACACCTGGTCATTTACAAACCCAGAAGCAAAGTGCGCCGCCAACGCGGATGCATTCTTAGTGCTGGAGATTAGGGGCTGTCCGTTCTCGTCCTCTATCACTGGTAGGTTATTTGTCGGCCTCAGGCGCCGCTTCACGTAGGCCAAGATTCTCCTCTGGGTCGCTTTTGCTGTGATTGCTAGCTGCTCTTCGAAATAGCTGCGCTTGCTCCTTTTTACACTGCTTTTTGTACACCTCCTAGTCGTCGTCCGAGCCAGAGATAAGGAATTTGTCCCATAACCTGCACCGTTGCTGAGCCGGCTTGCCATATTCCTTGTCGAACCAATGTGGCTTGCCCAGTTTGATTTTCCGACACTTGAGAGGCGCTAGTTGGTTACCTAATGAATTCATTCCTTTCTTTATAACTGATAAACAAACTTCAGCAGATATCGATTGCGACAGAAACCAATCCACCTCGCTCATGCTTCTAGCCAGACCGTCAGTAGTTGAAATCTGGTTGCACTGCATGGTATTGCGGCGGCGGCAGCTCCATGTTGGCGATAAGAACTGAGTGGTCGCTTGCTACCAGAGGTTCCAGCATCCGAATGTCACGCACAAGTTGTTCATAACTGGTTAACATCAAGTCTAAGTAGGATAGAGTTGAGCGCGGTGTTATGCACGTCGGTTGGCAGATGTGTTATGTTGCCCCAGTTTCAAGTACCGTATCAGCGAACTTTGATTCAGCCTCATAATGTCCGGGGATACGTTGAACTTCAGGCCAGCGTACTCGAGGACAATTTTTGTCGCCTATGAGTAGAAGGTGACGGTCTCATCTGGTCTCGGAAATACGACGACCATTCTAAACAATTGCTCAGGGGACGGCGATGAATTGCACTCGCTAGCAACTGTCCGCGCCTGGGGTGGTTCCAGCACCACAACTGCTCACATAGGCCATCTTCGCTTCCGTGGGAGCTCACGAGTCTCCCACACAGACCAGTCCGGACGTAGAACAAGGCGCCACCGCGGGCATTCGATAGCTTTTCGCAACAGATGGACGAGTAACCACTAAGCTCAACTTCCTGGTTGTGTACCTCATCATTCAACCACGTCCCTGCGAGCCCCATTACATCTGGTCGCTCGAAAGGAAGGAAACGGCACAGCTCCTCGCTCTTGTTCATAAGACTGCCGACGTTTGTAAAAGCTACACGCAGGCTGTGGTTAGAACTACCGGGCGTGCCTGCAGACTGAGCGACTGATTTATCCGAATTCTTGTTTGTTGTAATCAACTGAAAATTTACAATACGTAGGTTTGTTTCTTTCTCAACGGTTCGCTGATTTAGCTCGATGATGACACACTTGAGGCGCTCCCGGTCAGCTGGATGGATATCCGGAAGAATATGCACCCTATCGCCTGTCATTCTACTCAGCCGAGATGGTATTAACTTCGGACTGGCCTCGTCAGCAAAAGTTGCTCGCATAGGTTGGTCTTCCTCAGCAATGTTCTTGTCGAAACGGATGACTTTCTTCACTTTCACTCTGTCCTCACCTACATCGAGGGGCCTATCAACCAGACTCCGTGGATACTTTACGTCATGATCATAGTGTGCCTGAGGACTTGGATCGTTAGACTCAGACGCGCGAAAAAGCATCAGCTTTAATCGCCTCTTGTCATTCAAAGTGGTTGCTGCTTTAATTGGTATAGCCTGTTGTTGCTCAATTGAAGGAAGCTTTTCTTCATTTCGCGGCTTATTCCGTGGTTGATTTTTCCACGGCTCCTCATGCATTGGACATTCATCTGCGTCATTAGAGTTTGCAGAGCGCAAAGTCAGTTGATCATTAGCCTCAGTTGGTGTCCTGTCTCCGGCAACATTGGGATGGCGAGGTAGGGAGTTGTCAGAGGGAGTTGAATGGGAGGAAGGCTGGGTTGGACCTTAGATAGATTCTAGGCCAGTTTGCGAGACGGTAAGTCTAGAACTATTCACATTTAAACGTTTTTGGTCGCGATCTGCATCGGTAGAGGTTATACGTTTCTCTGACTTAGACCGCGACCTTTACACAAAATTTGGTTGAAATCATGTTGAATGGAACGCAGACGCGGATTGTAATCGGTAGGTAATCCAGCGCACGAAATATGAAATCTAATATAACATTCAAAGCACGTAAGGGCATTTGCCTTTCTCCCAACCATTTTCGAGCAGGAACCAAACGGTGATTTCTTCGGCCTTTTGAAAAAGTGATGCAAAATTAGCGTAAAGTGGTAAGGTAGAATATGCGAAACGGAACTGCGAAATCTGTGGCAAGATATCACACAAAATGTGATACAAAAATGGCTGATTCAGAAATCAAATTGAATGATTCCGAAATTCCCACAAAACCATTCCAATATGTCAATAAATCCACAAGAGAGTATTCTGACAACGCAGCCACGGAATAAGCAACCGGAGGTCCCTAATCGCCGAAATGAGCTGCGCATGAGCGCTCAAACGCAGCTTCCGCATCTGGTATGAAGTAATTACCACTTCACTCTTCTCATTCATCCTATGACCATTGCTAGAGTATGGTTTGTCTGTCTATCCCCGACCACTTGAGTCGAGGCACAGACCAACGGATCCAGCAAGTCGCAGCCAGGCTCATCTTCAGTTTACAGGGTTTACCGTACGAAGATAGGTGCTAGCGAGAGGGACTGTACACACTGTCCCGTCGTCCGGTGTCCGTCGATCTCATTAGTACCTACTGCATTCTACATCTAAGTGACTTCCCCATGCTGACGCAACTGCTGCGCTTGTGAACACCATGCGACACACGCATACTCTTGTGGTACCAGAGTGGAACTGAGTTCTCCACCTTTTGTACTTGGCACAGCGAGTGTCACTGTTTACCAGAAGGTATAGTGGAAGCAAACTCAACACAGTAGTTCAAAATACTTTTAGATGAACATTTCTCCTGTGTTCGATCCCGCGAACGCTTAACCACTGATAATGATATCTCACCTTTATGGGCACCAATTTACTGTGCGTCCCACACTTTTTACGATATCACTTGATAACTTATAAAATTGTCAACGTGTTAAAATGTCATAGGTTGTTTTTAGCGTTTTCGTACTTTGATGGTGTTGTACTCATTTAAATGTCTACTTGTTTCCAGAATACAATACCCAGTATTACAGCCCGATTTTATTTCAGAGGCTTATTCACTACCATGCGCATCCGGTTTCGGGCGCATTAAAGTTTGTATGCTATGATTGCGTTACGAGAAATGAGTTATGTACACTCTATTGCGTTAGGATAGGTTTACTGCTTGTGGCAAATTGATGAGGCCGTTGCAACCAGCCGACTGCATCAGGCGATTAGGTGATCCTCAGCAACTCCTCACCTATTCTTTTAATTGCTTGTATTTTCTTATTCCGAACTGAGTATTCTATGGATTGTTCGACGTTAACGTGCGTTCGTTTCATTTTCTTTGTTGTGACACCATGTTGAAAATATTGAGTCAATATTATTCCCCTTACTTTTGCCGTTCCAGCAGAACGCGAACGATTGCGCACTGAAAGAGCTACAGATAGTTTGGCCTTGCAACGATTCAAGACTTACATGCGCGACCGAAAACGGCGGTAGCATGGATATGGGACTACTCATGTGTGATTACGTTCTTGCTTTCTTTTCTGATGCCTTCTTTCTAACTACCGCCGATATTATTTGCTCAATCAGCTATGTATCCTGTAAATTGTATATTCACCATCATTATTTGGGAGCATTGTACTTGACTTTTCATAGTGCAGTTTTCTATGTTGCCACCGACAGGTATGTCCATAATTTTTCCTCCTTCAGATAAGACACTGCTTGAAGCACTTTCGCTCTGTCCAGAGTTCTGTTGTCCCCGTAATAATACAAGCCAACTAGAACGAAGTCCAATTGGATAATGTATATTCCCAATTATCCATGTTCGCGCCTTCATCGGCTTTAGCAGCTGAGCACTTTCAGTCCACCATCGTTAATACATGTTATCAATATCTGAAACACATGTCTAAACTCAGGTATCTGTTAACAAACGAGAACTTAGACGCTCTTAAGGCGCTTAGACGGAACGGGAGTGTGCTGGTCTGTAGACCAGATAAAGGAGCAGGGATAGTCCTAATGGAAAAGTCTGACTATGCATCCTCAGTGGTCACACGGATTTTCGGAGAATGGAAAACGCGAAAGATAGAGCGGTTACGATCGGAAGGACGGTTACGAAGCTAGTACGCTGTTTGAAATAGGAGAATGCGTCTGCTCCCGTCGTTTTTGAATAAACGCGTCCCACAGCGACAATGATCCCACTACTTTATGGCTTGCCGAAAGTGCGTAATAATAGGCTTCTACTGACACCCATATTGAACATGTGTGATTATTCGTATCACTCGATGGCAAAGTGCCTAGCTTAGATTCTAGAACTGGTCAGAAAAGTAATATCAGGACACAGCCTCAAGGATACCTTCAGCTTTCTGGAATTCATAAAGAACATGGACCTAACAGGAATGAAGATATTTTCGCTAGATCTTGTATCACTCCCCACCAATGTCCCGTTAGAAGCAATGATCGTCTACCTATGCGATGCTATTCGATCACACCATGTGAATGTCGGCCTCTCGAACGACCAACTGAGACAGCTACTTCTGATGTGCACGAGTAACATACAATTTTAGTTCAACGAGTCAGTCTATAAACAAAAGGACGTTGCCATGGGCTCAACTCTAGGACCGTTACTAAGAGATGTGTTTATAAATAAATTAGTAAACAATTATCTGAGCGGCGTTATTAATAACTTAGTTTACTACAGCCGTTACCTAGACGACATTTTGCATCTCAGATAGTCACCTGTGCACGGTGGAATTATTGACAGTGCTCAACTCGGCTCACGATAGCATACCATCCACCCTTGAATATTAATGCGAAAACGCCATGTCATTCTTAGACCTTTAGATGAGCGGAAGATCGGACGGGTCGGTTTAACAGTGTCCATAGAAAAGCAACGTGGAACAGCAAATACACGCATTTTGCCAGTTTCCTCTTACTTAGTTAGAAAGGACAACTTGTTCAATGTCTAACCGAGCGCGGAAGAAAGATATGTACCGAGGACACGCTAAACTTCGTACGGAACATATTTGATAGAAATGGCTATCCAGTGAGTGTTCGGACAAATATGGAGTCTCGTGAAACAAGGAGTAAAATAGCTTAAATGGAAAAGCCGATTTATCCATCGCTACCGTTCAAGGAGTACGGGATAGCGGAATCAACATACCGAAGGCTTTCTGATGCAGTTTCTCAATCCTACTATGCCACAAGCTTGCGGTTAAGCTTCAGTTCAGTACCATTACTGAACCAGCAATTTAATGACAGGACTCTTCGGCCGCCATTCGGCTTCATGACCCTGATCTGTGCGCACATAAGAAATTTTTCCAGGCACTCATCCTACCCTGGCCCCATGTAACGCAGCCACATTGTGTATTTAACACCACGCACCATGGGGCCAACCATCTAGCTCGGACACAGACAATCTAAGTTTCTGCACATGTACTGTTATCTGTTGTTTAAGTTTCAATGTCCCATTCGTGATGTGTTAGCCCGAGGCAAACCACTGAAAACAAAAGCTTGCTCGCTAACTGTTTTTCTGGAAACTTGTCAGCCCCGAAAGTGAAGGAGTCTGATGCGTCAGCTTCAGCACGGAACACACCAAAAGTGCAGTTTATCGATGAAAAGTGACCGGTGAGCGGTATATCCAAATGCTTGAAGGAGTATGTACACTTGAGTGTTCGACGAAATTTGCTGTCCCAGGTTGAGGCATAATAAAAACTCAGAAGTGTTCCGACTACAAGATGGAGACAGCAGCGCTTAACTGGTGGTGGGTTGGTTCCATTTCCTAGCATACTTTTTCCTTATTTGCAATGTAGCGTTGTTGTGGGTTCACTAGCGACCTGTCCGCACTCTGAGGATTGCCGACTGTAAAATGGAGTTTGCTACTACCGGAGGTTAGTCCGCAGTTTGCTAGGACCGAAACTACGTTCCTGAAGCTCATTGGTCAATGGTATATTGCGAACAACAAAGCCGAGGTTTAACACACTCCGCAAGATGATAGATGAGCGTTTACAAAGACGCAACAAGAAAAGACTCCATAACACGGGAGATCTGTTTTCGCCGGAAGGAGCAGGCTTGTACAAGCGATATGTTAAATAGGGTATTCAAGGCAGGCTCATTTCTATAACCCGACACAACATCGTTGCTGCAGCGCTCACTGCGGCTACGTTAGCATGGCAGCATTTACGCAGTCTTCAACGCAACTATCGAACAATGGAACCTTGTTCGACGTTAATCTACGATTGGTTAGACTATCATCCAGTTACTTCTCCAAAACAGCCATAAGCCTGACCATCTCTACTGCATGACTTGCCTTGAGCAATTCGCGGCGTTGCCTGAGCTTGAGCTGTTTAATTTTCAGTTCCAACTCGATCATAATCTGCTTCTCTTAATTCTGCTAACAAAAGCTGTGATCGCGCCTTACAACAGGCTTCCTTAAAGCTAACATGAGAGCCAGAATTGGAAACAACATCAAAGGTGACGCCCCAACTATTCCATAACGTCCGCCGACATGGTCGCCTGAGTAACTGGCACTGCGAAAGGTTCAACGAATTCAGCAACGTTGGATTCAATGCCGGTGAATGTAACACTGGACCAATGGTATAATACGGATAAAAATGCTAGGGCTAGACAAGTCCCGTAGGATGGTTTGTGGAAATAACGTTAGTTCAAATAAGCTGCACGAAAGTGGAAAAAACGCATCTGTGGACTCACCATATTATCCACATTACCACATAGGTATATCCGTCTACTCCGAGTTCGTGGGGTTGGTGAGCATAATGTTTGCCTGCACCATGTCGTCACTCAATGAATAGAAATCCGCTCAAATAATGTAGGTAATGTAAAGCATCGTCTAGTCGTATTGTAATAATGGGTAGCTTGGTCGCGGGAATGACATTAGTCGAAAGAGTGTACCACGGTTGACAAACTAGAAGGGAGAGCTAAATTCGGCGGCATTCCAGCCCACTGTATTGGGTGAGAAGTATCAAATTATGACCCTTTCAATTCATTGTTGCTACTAAGCTACAGGTGGCGGCAGGCGTGAACGGAGTTTATCAAGGTCTGGAACGCCAGGATGAGGTCACCCCGTAGACGGCGATATCTGCGATTTTACACTCCCAGGGCTCTCAGTCGCCTGTGGTATTGCAGGTGAGACGACCTCACCACATTTTACATTGTCCTTCTCTGGGCGGTCTCCAGCGCAGCCAGGTCGCGTTTCAACCAGTTCCCAAGCCTGGACCGCGTACTCTACACGGGGTCTCACCTATGCATTGAGCCCGAACGCCCTCCGTAACAGATCAACATGTTGGTTCGCGATTTTTGATGCCCACAGGAACTACGCCGAACAGCCGAAATGGTCTTGCATCATTACCCAAAGGTCCCACCCTTGTGAGACAGTTTTCAGCATGTCGTCTCCAAGCTTATATGAATACTTTCAAACTAGGCACATTTCGAGATTGAGCACCTCCAAAGTTGAGTACTGTGGCATCTACCGATTGAACGTTGACTGACATGTAGCCAGGGATCCCGTAGTCAAAACAAAGTTGGATCGCAGCAAACACGGCACTATTAGATCACAAACACGTACATACATCGGACAAACCTCAATTGTTCTGGACCTCTTGCGCAGTCATCACAATGTCCTGCATTATATAACTGCTGACACAGTGTGGCTGCGATGGTGCAGCACATCCATTGTCCCTCCTATGCAGATTCTGAAAGACTCTTAGCAGCATTTCAGCTTTATCTCTGGCTTCCACAGCCTGGCTGCCATCTTCCATAATTAGACACACAACGTCCTCCTTAGGGAGGCTTTAGACTGAACTTTAAAGATGGTGACGTTCGTTGATTGGTCAAAAAAGGGGTGAAACCATTTACCTCTAGACTCTGACATTCTAATCTGGTCGTAACCTTAAAACTGTGTTTTAGTTTGCTAAAAAGCCATCAACCGTTTGCCGCCGATTCGAATGCTTAGCAATACGGTTAACCAAATGCTGCAAATTTGGTAAATTAATTAGACAAAAATATGTCCACATCCTTATGTCCAATGTTGCACAGTGACCGCATTATGATGCTAAAAGTCAAACTTTGGTCGCTGTTTTCATGGATGCTGTATTTAACTAATTCGCAGTCTTCGAAGTCCGTTAAAATCATTGGATTTCGCAACGTGTACCGTAAAAGCTTTCTTTAGTAACAAGCTTGTTGGCACGAGCGTCCGTTAATAGTCCGTGGGTTATCTTATATGCGTCTTCTCGGCGTCCTGTCTAGATGTTGTTAAACGCAAAACAGAACACAGACGAGAGGTGCAGCAAAACGGATTTGAAATAAATGTTAACTGGTGTCCACTTAATCAGTTGTGCCCGCTGCGCTGCGAAAGTGATAATATTCGACTCGCCTTACTATGCATCCACTTATCGAGGTGGAAACATCGCCCTGGTAGCACATGTCCAGGTCCTTTCAAGTTTAGCATCCTAAACGTTCCTATGAGAGCATTAGGCTAAACTGGACAGGAAGTATTACCGTGAGACGGCTAAAAAGGGTTCCTGTCCAGTTTACGTTGGACCAATGAAGATGATGCTAGCGTTGACCAATAGAAATTCACCACTATGCGTGACAATCCGGTTGGTCCAGATCCCGTCATTGCCTCCCATGGGTATCCGTATACGGACAACACACTTGAACGCACTATGCGCCTAACGAATATATGGACGGCTCGGACCTAGTGCTCACCCGGTACCTGTTGC